TTTTATCTTTCTTCATATTCGAAAATTAACTAAAAAAAATATTGATTCTCAAAATAGATTTCATGTAATACTTAGCGTTAGAATAAATCGCTGCCAACGCTGTTATTCCTTCTAATGAATTTCCATCCCAATTCTAATAAATTGAACTGCACCATAATACAACAACACGACCTATCGTATTGCCGGTGAAAACATTTTTTTTCTGCTTCTAAATAAAATCTGCGTTAATCTTCAAGAAGGTGCCATCACAAAAAAGCTTGGCGGCGGGCAATAGCATGCTTCAAAAATGTATGAATGCTAATTGCGTTCAATTATATGTTCACGGTTTGAATGCAATTTAACTGATTAAACTTTTGTAACCATATATATATATATATATATATATATATATATATATATATATATATATATATATATATATGAAAAAGATAAGGGAAATACGTTAAAATGTGTGTGCAGCAAACTTAATTACCGTGGCGGCACCCCCCCCCCCCCCTTCTTTTCTTGTCTTTAAAAGAAAGTACGCTAATGACAAATTTCTATAAAAAGAGATGTTTCATCATCATTTTTCATGTTGAAAACCATGACGAACATAGAGCCTGACCAAAAAAAAACCACAGACGCCTTTTATATCCTAGGTAATCACGCGAACACGGAGTTAACGAAGTTTGATGGGGAGGGAAAAAATTAAGTTTTTAAAATTCGATATTCTATATTCAACTTTAAACAAACAACAGCTGGTTATTAAACTACAAAATTGTGTGGGGTTTTTTTTTATATATTTTTTTTTACATGAGCACGGTTTTTGTTTAATTAAATAAACGAGCGTAGTTTTATATACACGAAAACAGGATTTTGTAAATGTAGCGTACATTCTTCCTTTACAAATGTATGAAAGGGATTTCGACTAGTTTATGAAATTGACATAGATCGTAAGTTTATATTGGTTAATGGTTTATTGTTGGGTGGATGATGATGTAGGATTATATATATATATATATATATATATATATATATATATATATATATATATATATATATATATATATATATATATATATATATATATATATATATATATATATATATATATATATATATATATATATCAGCAAATATGGCTTGGGTTTTGATTTCGTGTTTCCTTAGACTTGGCCGTACCACGGGGTCACGGGGTAAAAGGTTAGATTGTGTATTGTAGGTCACGAGTAGGTTTAGGTTAACGTTTTGTGCCCATGTTGATGGTGGTGAGGCTTATTGACAGGGTGAGGATAAGATAGAATTATCAAGCTAATTGATACGGTGTACGAATATGCATTATGGGGCAGAATATTGCCGCTTGCTAACTGCTCACCTATTGTTTCCATAGGTAAAGATGCGGGGGGGGGGGGGGGGGGGGGGGGGGGGGGGGGGGATCAATCGGGGGAGGGGGAGATTCATCGGGGTGGAGGGGGTAATTGACCTTAACCGTATAAATGATGGATAGCCACCTCATTTCAATAAGAACCAAGACGATTGGTCTACTCAAACATAACGTAATTTAAAACTGACGAAAAAGTTGATCAGTCAAGAAATAAGAAAAAGCCCATAATCGCGAATAACAAATAATATATTCTGGATGATTCTGCACTCTGCAATCCCCACACACAACCCCCCCCCCCCCCCATGGACAATGAGTTAATTTAATAGACACAAAAAAAAACTAATTTTGTAGAATAATAATATTCTCAATTCCCATAAACAAAAGCTACAGTAAATGAAAAAACAAAAAACTAAAAGCTCTCTTCCAGAGCATAGATTTGGCCTAGCTGGAAGAAAGACACGATTTATTTCTAACCAATTTCTTTTATTTCCCCTGTGGAATCAGAGCGTTTCAGAATTTAATTCATTTTTATTTCACTGATCCGTTGATTTTTTTTTAAAAGAGTGACCATATTTCTCCAGGTTGTGATACGGATTTTATTTTCGGGTCTGATTTGTAGGGCCATTTAATGTAAGGATATAATTGTATGGCCATTTAATGTGAGGGTCTGGTAGTATGGCCATTTTATGTGAGGGTCTGGTAGTATGGCCCTTTTATGTGAGGGTCTGGTTGTATGGCCATTTTATGTGAGGGTCTGGTTGTATGGCCATTTTATCTGAGGGTCTGGTAGTATGGCCATTTTATGTGAGGGTCTGGTAGTATGGCCCTTTTATGTGAGGGTCTGGTAGTATGGCCCTTTTATGTGAGGGTCTGGTAGTATGGCCCTTTTATGTGAGGGTCTGGTAGTATGGCCCTTTTATGTGAGGGTCTGGTTGTATGGCCATTTTATGTGAGGGACTGGTTGTATGGCCATTTTATGTGAGGGTCTGGTAGTATGGCCCTTTTATGTGAGGGTCTGGTAGTATGGCCCTTTTATGTGAGGGTCTGGTAGTATGGCCCTTTTATGTGAGGGTCTGGTAGTATGGCCCTTTTATGTGAGGGTCTGGTAGTATGGCCCTTTTATGTGAGGGTCTGGTAGTATGGCCCTTTTATGTGAGGGTCTGGTAGTATGGCCCTTTTATGTGAGGGTCTGGTAGTATGGCCCTTTTATGTGAGGGTCTGGTAGTATGGCCCTTTTATGTGAGGGTCTGGTAGTATGGCCCTTTTATGTGAGGGTCTGGTAGTATGGCCCTTTTATGTGAGGGTCTGGTAGTATGGCCCTTTTATGTGAGGGTCTGGTAGTATGGCCATTTAATGTGAGGGTCTGGTAGTATGGCTCTTTTATGTGAGGGACTGGTTGTATGGCCATTCTATGTGAGGGACTGGTTGTATGGCCATTCTATGCGAGGGGCTGATTGTAAGGCCAATTTATATGAGGGTATGATTATATGGCCATTTTACGTGAAAAAAACTGAAATCGCACAATTTTAAAATGTAAAAAAAAAAAAGGAAAAACATATTCCTCCAGGTTAGATTTGAAAAAATATTATATTACAGAACAAAACATTATAATTAATCAGCAGTTTCAGCGCTGACTATATTTAGAGATACATATTGCAAGAAAGAATGAATTATCTCAGTCTAGATTGTATCTGAATACTTTCAAACTTGCTGCAAGTATGCAAGTATATTTAAATAGAGGTGTAGATGCTGTTAGAATTTAAGTATAAATAAATAAATTATATATATATATATATATATATATATATATATATATATATATATATATATATATATATATATATATAGTTATAGTTATAGGAGAACACTTACGGTGGCAGACATCACGCACTCCACAACGCCAAAGTTAAGTCGCATAGGTCAGTGTCCAATCAACAAGACAAATTTCAGATAATGACACAGCTTAGCAGCATACAGACGCTCTAGTTATGGCTGAGGCTGGGTCTCCCGTGGATGGGGGGGGGGGGAGACAAAAAAAATCTAGCTCCAACGACGGCAGCGAGTTGGGTGAAACAGCGACGTGATGGAGGCAGATTCAGGGGGTGGTGGTGATGGTGGTGGTGGTGCCAGAAGGGGATGGTGGCGACTCTCCGGCCAGCTGTCTGGACGCGATGGGGGAAGTTGGAGGGGGGTTGGGCAGGGGGTGGGGGAGCAGCTAGGATGTGAGTGACTGGCCCTTATCACGCACCACGCGAAACCCTGCCCGGTCGACTGAAAGAAGAAGATAAAAAAATAAAAGAATAAAATGAGATAAGCACATTTTTTTCCTCTTCTATATTCCTTTTTTTCTCTTATTCTTTTTTTTTTTGTCTTTCTTTCTACCCAAATCCCTGCTTCACGACAACCCCCCTCCCCCCTTCCCTGTTGCACAACAATGAGATAAGAATAGCAGACCTTAATTTCCACTTAACCTATTGATCGAGTCTGTCAGTTTGTCAACGATTCCAGGACGCACCTTAACGCATGCGAATGGACGACGACATGGAGATCCGACTTGGAACAACAAATACGCGGTCGGGAAACTGGACGTGAAGGTTGCGTAATCCAATACGCGCGTGTTATTAAGAAAAATAATTTAATTGAAAACAACTTAATGAGATTAAAACCCGTTGAAAGATTTTGAAAAAAAAATGTAAATGTTATTTGAATATTGATTTTATTTTGTTGGAAAAAGATTTTCATGTGTCGGGTAAAAGGGGTGTGGGTTGGAATAAGAAATATGCTGGGTTGTGAACAATACGTGAACGTCTTTGTGAAGATAAAATTGTGAGTCGACCTTTTGGTCAGTTTAACACAGCCAGTTGAGATTCGATCTGGTGACTTAAACAACTGCCATTTTGAAAGTGGGAGTAGGGGGTCGGCGTGGTCGAGCCGGTAAAGCTCGTGGTTGCTAAACCGATAAGTCTCGGGCAGATGAGGCTCGTTAGCTGGGGGCAGCCACTCTTCTAGGAGAGACAACTCCAAAATAAAAAAAAACTGTAGTTTGTTCCTGGTTGGACAAAGGCTATGGAAGCAAATCCAAAAAGAAAAGCAGACTGAAATCGGAATCAATGGCCTCAATGGCGCATAACAAATTGACACGTATGCTTAATTGTGTTGGAGGCGAGTCGAGTCGGCAAAGGTCATGATTGTTAAATTTCGAAAAAGTCTCGAGTTCAAACCCTCTGGCAGATAAGTCTCTATCCCTTCCAACATTAAAAATTAAGAACGAAGAAGATGAAGAAGAAAGTGGGAGTGGATAGGACATACCCTCAGAAAAAGCAGCTAGTACTACCGACAGACAGCCGCTGGAGTAGAACCTAAAGGGCAAGAGGAAATGGTTAAATATAGCACAGAGGAGATCTTTCGAAAAAGAGATAGCGATGGATGAAGTATCAAGGCTGGAGATTAAAAAGAAGCCAAAAATTTGAGTTTGTCTCGGCTATATGCTCTCGGGGTTAAGCGGTACCATATATTCAGGTAAAGTCAATTTGTTGTCACGAAATCGAGGCTACACTTGATTACTTTTTATCAAAGAGGTCTAAGGTCTTAACCTTAGAAAAGTGTAGTTAAAAAAGTTCAAAAGACTTAAGTTTAAATAAGTCTAAAGCCAACAAAAGACTAAATCATAAGCTTTAAAAAGGCCTAAAAAAAGCTAAAACTCTGAGTCTCAATATAAATACCCAAGCTCAAAATGACGGACAAGATACATTATAGTGAGCTGCTAGGATGACGCAAAAACTTGTCTATATCTTTTGTGTTATTTATCAACTTTAAAATGTTTCAGCACTTTCACAGATTTGACAAGACCTGTCTAGATTTTAATTGTTTACTAAAAAAAAAAGAAAAAAAAAAAGCTTCTTAAAACTATCTCGGATCGCAGCTCTTGGCGAGTTTCTGTTGTATTCAACGTGTTGAAATATTTAACGGTTCAATTATAACTTTACTGCTCTTAAAAAGATACCAGTATATCGCCTATCTTATATAACATGTTTAATGCAAACTTCAACTCTGAAAACTCTATTTAAAAACCACTACGTTGCCATTTTAAGTAGAGATTTCCGCTTTAGACCTGGCGATCAATTGGGCGACCAATAGGGCAGATGGGTTAGAGTTCATGTTTCTTGACCTGGGCATATGAGAGATGGTGTGTTCAGCACTATGCCCAGCCGCATTTACTTTTCCCAAATCAAGTCAAGGACCAATAAGAGCTGGGTGGGCTAATGGATGCCTCCAGTCACAAGATCCGAACAGAGATCCGAACTAGATACCTTCGGGCTAGCAGCTGAACGCTCTACCATTCGACCACGCTTTCCCGCACGTGACCATGTACATCGTTTGATATACTTTATATTAACTTTTTCCAAGCCCCATTCCCAAATTATCAAGTTGTTTTTTTCTGACCTATATTCGTACTCATCACTCTCCCCTTCCCAATTGTTGGTCCCTTGTCCGGCGTTGACCAGAGCGACCATGATTCTCATGGGTTCGAGGATGTATCGATTCTAAGCCTTGTTGTGTCAATACCTTTTCTTTCTGAGGCATTTCCAATCCATGGTCCAGTGTCCATGTCTCTCAACCAATACCCCTCCCACCCCACACACCTCTCCACAGTATTCATATCCATTGTCCAATCGTGTCCATGTCTATCAACCAATACCCCCTTCTCCAAACCCTCACCCCCACATTTCTCATATCCATGGTCCAGTCGTGTCCACGTCTATCAACCAATACCCCCCATCCTACCCCACACCCCCACATTTCTCACATCCATTGTCCAGTCGTGTCCACATCTCTCAACCAATACCCCCTCCTACCCCACACACCCCTGTCCCACATTTCTCATATCCATTGTCCAGTCGTGTCCATGTCTATCAACCAATACACCCTCTTACCCCCACCCCACATTTGTCATATCCATTGTCCAGTCGTGTCCACGTCTATCAACCAATACCCCCTCCTACCCCACACACCCCTGTCCCACATTTCTCATATCCATTGTCCAGTCGTGTCCACATCTCTCAACCAATACCCCCTTCTACCTCACACCCCTACATTTCTCATATCCATTGTCCAGTCGTGTCCACGTCTCTCAACCAATCCACCTCCTACCCCACACACCCATGTCCCACATTTTTCATATCCATTGTCCAGTCGTGTCCACGTCTCTCAACCAATACCCCCCTCCTACCCCACACCCCACATTTTTCATATCCATTGTCCAGTCGTGTCCACGTCTCTCAACCAATACCCCTTCCTACAGCACCCCCATCTCCCACATTTTCCCAACCCACTGTCCAATCACGTTCATGTCTTCCGACCAACAGCCCCACACCCCCCCCCCCCAAACAACCCCATACCCTCCCCCCCCCCCCCCCCAACAACCTCAACCTATTCTCCATCTCCTGCCTGGCCATGTCTTTGACAGGCTGTTACGAGATGCCGTGCCTGCTGTGTCGTGAAAGATTTAATGACCAAAAAAACTGCAGACGTTTTCAATTATGTGACCCGCCATCTACAAGATTAGTTTCACTTTTTTTAAATATTCCAGTGAAACTTATTATCACGCGTGGACTTTCGATGAGTTGACAACATATTGAAAATAACAATCCAAACGCTCTCTAAAAAAAACAGTTTCTTAGATTTAGTTTTTAAAATCTGTTTAAAAGTAATCTACACCATTCCACAACATTAATTGCGAATCAACACATGTATACGTCTCGTGTTTAAAGTATTCCATGGCAACGTTAGCTAACCCTCTTCCATCACAATTTGATGCATAAAGGTTTCCAATACAACAGCCTAACTTATTCTTCGTCTTCGTTCTTAATTGTAATGTAGGAAGATATCTCCTCCAACACATTTAAGTTTTACGTGTCAACTTGTTATGCGCCATTGAGGCCATTGACTCCGATTTCAGCCTGCTTTTCTTTTTGGATTTGCTTCCATAGCCTTTGTCCAACCAAGAACAAACTACAAGGCAGCAGTTGTTTGATTTTGGAGTGGAGTTCAAGAAGAGTTCCTGTCCCCAGCCATCGAGCCTTATCTGCCTGGTAACACTCTAACAAATATTGGCTGACAAAGGTTTTATTTCCACTACAATGTGACAAAACGTTAAACAGTTATAGAAGACATTGCCGCTAGAACTAATCAGAAAAAACTTTACAAAAGGTTGACCTTGTGACTAGGCGCGTCTCACAAAAGTAAAGGACAACATGGTAGAGCATACGACTGATTACCCGAAAGTCTCGAGTTCGAATCCCGGGTTTGTGTCCGTAGAACGTCCCTGGGTCAACCCAGCTCTGATGGTTACCTAACTCACGCTATTTAAAGTAAAGGCGGCTGGGCATAGCACTTAACACACTACCTAACCCTTCGTCTGCAGGGTTATTTAAAAAAGTGAACTCTACTTCAACTATTAGATGTACCTTTAATTATTAAAATAATACTTAACTTTGTTTACATTTAACAAGCAAAAGTGACTCAACGTCTCTATGTAAAAACAATGACTAAATACGACTAAGAAAACCTCGTGACTAAATTCAAGCAACAAGTTAGTCACTAAACACTAGGAACAAGACTAAACGATTCAGCTAAAGTGGTACAGATCTACCTATAGCGAGAACCACAGCAGGATAAAATATTCAACTTAACCCCTGCCAATGCCACCCTTCACCACAACAACCAAGGCAGGAAACGCTCTCGAAAATATCAGCTCCGCTTCAAGGGAGCTAACTCCAGCTTTTCAAGCGGGACAACCAATCTCATTTCCAATCGCGAGATTTCAACAGTTGAACCGACTCACAATGGGGTTCGTCTATTGATACGGAAAGAGAAGGGGTGGAGCTGAGTTAACTGCATAAGGACCAGAATTTTCTAGATTGCAATTTCAGTTTTTTTTCTCTTCTCTTCTTCTTCTAAAGATGGCAATATCTTGATGTATATTTCACGCGCGGGTCACATTATATATTCCCTCGGTATAATTGGAAAAGGACGACCGAACCCTGATAAAGTTGTCAGAGAATAAAGGATCCGTTCGGACACGGTCATTGTCGAGTCTACCACACGGTTGTTTACTGTTTGTGTGCATTTTATATATATATATATATATATATATAAATATATATATATATATATATATATATATATATATATGTATATATATATATATATATATGTATATATATATATATATATATATATATATATATATATATATGTATATATATATATATATATATATATATATATATATATATATATATATATATATATATATATATATATATATATATATATATATATATATATATATATATATATGAAGTAGATGTAACTAATCTATGTGTGTTTTTAATGTGCTGGAATTTTTCGTTTGCGTATTTAGCGTTTGCGAAATTGTTTCTATACGTAACTTTTGTGTGCGGTTTTTATACGTGCGGTATTTTCTTTAGCGCTCAATCCAGGACATTGACAGCAACAACAAATGTGTTTTATGTCTGTTCCTATAGGAATATACCAGCCAAATCTACTGCTTACAACAGGAATAAATGTTAATGTTATAGTTACCTGAAATCCAGGTCTAAGACCAACATGGGAGAGAACTGAGATGAAAGTCCGCTGTAGCTGCCGTGAGTTACATGCCCCTGCCCACACCAAAGCGCCGCTATGGTAGAAAGGGTGACTGGCACGTCGAGGGGAGGTGACCTTCCGTAGTGATGAACAGCCGGCTGTTGTGCTGGTCAGGTCTGGGCTGTTTCATTGGTTAATGGTCACGTGTGCTGGACACGCCAATCAACGAGTGTGTTCTGGTTGTGTGTGCAATAAGACTGTGAAGAAAAAAAAATAAAATGAATTTTTTTTTTAAAATTCAGATGGAAAAATTATAATGCATTGTAAAAACAATCATTTTCTTTTCCAGTTCATGCCCAATACACTTGAATCAGATGAAGTAGAGTTTATTTCAATGACCTCAGCATACAATGGGATAATGTGACCAGCACTATACCCAGCCGCCATGGTTTCCGTAAAGTGAGTCAGGGACCCATCAGAGATGTCACCAACGCGAGCAACACTGAGATGAAAGCAATACACTAGTTCAACTAGTTCAACAGACTAGTAGAATGTAGCAATCAAGACGTTTGACAGCAGAATGTAGCAATGAAGACGTTTGCCAATGCAACAACTGGTGGAGGAAAAATTGTCAACAAACATTGCTGTTACAGCCATCAAAGTAAGGAGAGAAAAAATTAACTTTTTCTATAAAAATGTCAGTTCAGTAGAAACAAACATTCATAATGATGATAAGATTTACATCAGCTAAAAATAATATTGAGAATAATATATCATGAAATTGTTCACGTCAAACATAACATTCAAAGAAATATTAAAGGTAAACAACCCAGAGGCGTAGCGACGGAACATATGTCCCCGGGCGCCGACCTTAGGGGGGGCGCCAAATTGAAAGTTTGAGGGGGGGGGGGGTGCAAATCGAAAGTTTGAGGGGGGTGCAAATGAAAAGTTCGAGGAGGTGTAAATCGAAAGTTTGTCCCCGGACGCCAGGAAGGGTCGCTACGCCTCTGAAACAACCATTTTTTTTCTAATATAATTATATGTATTTACAAGTGTTCCCTTTTTTCCAAATGGGTAGAGCAAGCGACTGCTAACCAGAAAATTTTGAGTTCGGGTGTTTGGTCTTTAGGGAAAGTAAAGGCGTAATGGTGGCAGCATCGTTGCATAGGGCCTGCTCTAAAAGTCCCAAGTTCGGCCCCGGGGAAGATGAGGCTTGTTAACTCGGAAAAGCAACCCATCTAGTAGAGAAAACTCCAAAATCAAACAAATGCTGCCTTTCAGGTTGTTTACGGAAGGAAAACAGTCTATGGAAGCAAAGGGCCATATAGCGCAAAACATGTTGATACAAATTACTTTATTCGGTTGGGGGAAAAATCCCGTTAAATTAAACATTTTAGTCAAAGAAGAAGAAATCGAGGGTTGCCAAACACTGTTACAATCTAGTCCCAAAACCTTTAGCTCTCCAGCATTTAAAAGTGATCGGTGATGGAATGAAATGCGTCAATATTAAAAAAAAGTTTTTTTTTAAATATATTCTTATATTTTTGACAGAAGGGAGAGAGTGCAAGGCGTAAAAACTCTAAAAAGTAAGAACGGAACATTGGGCGAGTCTGAGGAAAAAGCTGACGCGATGCTTGATGTACGTATAGCCTAAGGTTATTCTCAAGTAATAAATTATTTCCGGAGCAATGGTTTCAATAATGGGCGGGCGTGTGGGAGGGGTTTTAAAGCACCAACAGAGGAAGATGTGAGGTTGTATATTTTGGTGTCTGCTGTTCTTGGTGTGCAATGGCTTGTAAATTTTTTGATAACGCACAGGTCGATCGAAAAATTTTGACAAAGCACGTTTCAACATAAGAGTTTCTAGTATTTTTCAAATTGGTGGGGTAGACATTGTGGTGGTGAAGAGTGATTCTAAACCTCAGTGTTCCTCCCAAAATACACACGTAGATATACAAATATATATTTAGAAACATCAAGTGCATAACATTGTACTTACATTATCATAAACATTACAAATAAACAGTACTTTTAATACACATCCCCCCACAAACACAGATCGGGGGGGGGGGGTTGTTCAGTGTGGTGGAAGGGCCCTTTAGCTGCCACGGTACATCCTAGATCTAGATGGAGATATGCCTTCATGATACTGCGTCTGTTCATCTGTTAGTTTGTCACAGCGTATACGAGTATACTGAAGACATTTGTGTAGGCGATCGTGTTCCAACCACTCGACCATGCCGTGCCTAACACTGAACCTTCTCATCAAGTAAGAATAGTACCCCATTGCAACATAATGAATTATCTTTTTTTTAATACATGTATTAGGTTTACGTTATAAGAGAGTGGTGATTAAAGTGATAAAAGCCAATACCAACAATCTTGAAGTGAAAACTAGTGAGTAGGTATCAAGAAAACGTTGGCCATAGTCACATATAAAATAATAATAACCAACACATACAATACCAGAAATTTGCAAGCGAATACTCTAGTGAGTAGGTATCAAGAAAACGGTGGCCAAAGTCACATATAAAATAACAATCATCAACACATACAATACCAGAAATTTGCAAGCGAATACTTTAGTGAGTAGGTATCAAGGAAACGTTGGCCATAGTCACATATACAATAATAATAACCAACACATACAATACCAGAAATTTGCAAGCGAATACTCTACTCTAGTGAGTAGGTATCAAGGAAACGATGGCCATAGACACCAACTAAACAACAATCACCAACACGAAAAATACTAATCTGCAAGCGAGTACTCTAGTGAGTAGGTATCAAGAAAACGGTGGCTATAGACCTAAACAAAATAATAATCCCCAACGCATACAATACCAGACACCTGCAAGCCAATACCCTGAACTATTGTGTACTTGACAAGAAAATGATGGCCATAGACATTAACCAAAATAATAATTTTAAAAATCTGACGCAGACGAAATAAAGAATTCATAACGATCTGAGACTGGCCTATCACAACCAATTTCCGGTTGGGTGGGTCTACTGACACCCAGAGACTGACGGGCTGTCGAACAGGGGTAGGGACAAGCTGACAGGGACAGGGTATAACGCAGACAAGAAACTTCACATCAGATACGGATTCATTTTTATTTTATTCCGCGACTTCTATGAAATATTGTCATTTTTTTTTTCAAAATAATTATATTATATCTAACCACGTAACTATGTAAAATAAAATAAAACACTTTTTGAACTATAAGTTGTTTTTTTTAACACGTTTTCTTTTTTTTAAACCTCTAATATTTAAGGACAATATTTTTTTATAAAATCGATATTTATTTCTCTTTTTGAATTTGTTTTTTATTTATAATTTTTTATGATGATCAAAACTTTCTTTAAAATGTTCTTAAACTTAATGCATCACCCATTAAACGACATACAAAACCACACTGACATAACCCATGACAAAAAATACAATTCATTACAGACCATTACAGAAAGCTAGGTCGAGATTTGTTATATATGGATCACACTAAACCCGCCTCCCAGTGTTCATACAAACTTAAAAGCATGTTACAACGTAACGCACGCATAAATAAAAAAAAAAAAAGCTTTCTCTTCATATGACGAGATAAAAAAATATTTCAAAAGACGACTCGATTGTCAAGAAATTCTTAAGTTAATTAACATTCCAATGCATTTCATTAGGATTCCCTCTTTCTTTAAACCAATCAGTTAATTGTCCGTGCAGACGCTTTGGGCGAGTCAATAATTGCGTTTTATTTCCTTCCATTCAAAACAGCGAACCCAACTTGCATTAGGTGCTGGGGGTCATTAGAGAATCTCGCCCCGACAATGGGACCGCTCGATGTAGTTATACACATAAAGAAAGGGGTCGTTAGGGGGTCTCTGCTTGACAATGTACGGTTAGATTTAGTTATGGGCGTCTTGGATGTGATAAATTAGATGTTGTTAGAGTCTTCTTTACGGGTCCGGATATGTAATTAATTAGATGCAGTTAGTCAGGTACGCAGGTCTGGTTTTACAGGTCAATAGATGTAATAAATTAGATGTAGTTATAGACGTCTTAGAGGTGATAAATTTAGTTAAAGACGTTTTGTAGGTGATAAATTAGATGCAGTCATCGACGTCTTAGATGTCATAAATTAGATTTAGTTATAGGCGTCTTGGAGGTGATAAATTAGATTTAGTTATAGACGTCTTCGAGGTGATAAATTAGATTTAGTTATAGACGTCTTGGAGGTGATAAATTAGATTTAGTTATAGACGTCTTGGAGGTGATAAATTAGATTTAGTTATAGGCGTCTTGGAGGTGATAAATTAGATTTAGTTATAGACGTCTTGGAGGTGATAAATTAGATTTAGTTATAGACGTCTTGGAGGTGATAAATTAGATTTAGTTATAGACGTCTTGGAGGTGATAAATTAGATTTAGTTATAGACGTCTTGGAGGTGATAAATTAGATTTAGTTATAGACGTCTTGGATGTCATAAATTAGATGTAGCTATAGACGTGTCTAAAGGATTGAAAAGCTTATTCAATAACAACAGCAGAAACATTTATTGTCACAATAAAGTCATCGATTGAATCATTTTATATTAACTGTGAAACATTTTTTATTTAATAGAAACAAAATAAAAATAAAGAAGGATAAAAACAGCGCTCATGCTAATTGAGTAAGCCGCTGCTAATGGACTAAAACGTATCCGGTTGTGAAATATCACCATAACTGCGCGACCTTACACATACCCACATCCACGGTTCTGTAACCGTGTAACGTCAGCAACAGCCTCTAGCACCCAGCCTTGAAAAAAAAAATAGCCATAACAACCATTCCCTGACCAACCAAACAAAGTTGTGTACCCCAGCACGCAGGTTGAGAACCGCCGCCCTCACAACAAATTTGGAGCCATTATTGCCGCATTGTCATGAAGTAAATACCCGGGCGTTTAAGTGTAGGCCGCCGGATCGTTCTAAGAAATCGATCGGTATTGGCTTATTGGGGGTATTAATCATAATTGATTGCACGCTATTGATACGGAGGGTGCTCCGATGGGGATCGATAGAGCATTGTGTTAGCAAAATGTCATCCTTGAGCTCCCGGTAACGCCGTGTTAATGTGTTGCATACACACACATACTAGCTTGTATTGGACTTGGGTTTCAATGTTCAAACTGTAAGCATTTTTAACGCGCTGCGCTGTTTTATTATTTCCTATGCAAGCCGTGAAGCCAAAGAGATATGAGCGATCTATTGTAGATAATA